GAGGCAGGGTGGGGCTGTTGACGCAGCTTGATTTTGGTGCAGTCAAGGCACGTGGGATCGAGAGAGTCAGGTGGTGTAGGAAGTGAGGCTGGTAGGCTGAGAAGAATCTTCTTGGAGGCCATGTCAGCAAGTGTGTGGAAGTTCGGGTGCCCGAGCCGATGGTGGTAAAGGATGGTTGGGTTAGAGAGACTGTGACATGCGCATGGTATGATAGCAGCCTGTGCTTGGGTGGTTGACACCGTTGGGATAGGTACACGCAACGTGTAGAGGCCACTGCTGTTGAGGGTGAAGCGAGCTAAGACCTTGTTGGTGAGTGGGTCGATGATGTCACAGTAGTCCTCGTACTCCGAAAAAATGGTGAGAGCCCCTGTCTCCTGATTGTTTTTTTGAGCCACTAGATTGTGGCGTAGTGAAGGCACGCACATCCCACTTACTGTGCCGGATGGGAAGGCGGGGCACGGGAATGTGGACGGACCCTTGGCAAGAGTGGTGAAGCTTGAATTAGCTCTCAAGAGAGGAATGGGTGTTGTGTAGGACGTAAAGGAGAGTATCTCCTCAAGCACTGTGTAAGTGGCCCCACTGTCGAGTGTGAATTCTATGTATTGTGGTGCGTGTGATGAGCAGATGTACAGGAAGTTGCTTCATTAATCATGGCAGTGCCAGGGAACAACAAGTTGATGCGCACATCAGCAGAAGCACTATCACTGGTACTAGCCTAAGCGAGGTCTTGTGCCTCTACTAGGTTGGCCTTACAAGCGCGCATCCAGTTCGGCAGCTTCGTGTCGACTCCATGGATGGCATACCATTCGTCGTCTTTCTTCTTGAAACACGTGACGAGGGGGTGGTTAGTGCCACCACACACTTGTCCCTTGCAGCTGCCATACTTGACGACGTAGGTGCATGGAGGGAAGCGGTTGCGCTGAAAGGGCGCCGAGGCGACACTTGCTTGAGGCACGGGAGCACGGAGGGCGTAGGCCTTGTCTTGAGCCGAGGAGTCTTTCTTGGCGGAGAGGAGGGCGGAGGAGACCTTAGCAAAGGTGATGTCTTCCGCCGAGGATGTGAGGAGCATTTTCCTTGTGACTTCGTATGCCGAGGTGAGGCCAACAAGAAGGGCGGCTGCAGGAGCTTGCTCGGGGAAGACAATACCCAGCTTGAGCTCGCCATGGATGGTTTGCACCTTGAAGATGTAGTCGGCCTTTTCCGGGCAATCCTCAAGGCGGACTTGGAACATACTAGGAATGAGGATGGCCACCCCGACCGCCGTCTTGTTCATAAACCTGTCCTGGAGATGCTTTCAAATGACGTTGGAAGTGGGGTAGTTGTGGAACGTGTTGACAAGTTCGGGAGGGGTGGAGCCAATGAAGACGCTAATGATAGCCGCATCGACCTTCTCCCATTTGCAGTAATTGTCAACAGCTTCCTCATACTCCTTGGTTGCCATAGCATCGGAAGAATCGGACGGCTCCTTGGGGATGGGGGACTGCTTTCCCTTACCGTGGTTGAGAAGGACGTCATTGAGGTCCAATCCATGCACCTCACCGCTCAGGAGGTGCTTGTCAACCCCGTAACTCCATGCCTTGAAGTTGGAGCTAGTGCCGTTGGCTTCAAGGCGGAGCGGGGTGATGGGGTTGGCGAGGGTGGCCGAGGCGAAGGCCATGATGAATGTATCTTCTTTTCTGTGCGGAGCGCAGCTCTTCAGTCACCGTAGGCAGAATTGTGGAGTAGGGTTTGTGAAGGAGAATTATGAGGTAGGGTTTAGGAAAGAGAATTGTGAGGTTTATGATTTCCGAAAAAGAATTTGAACGTGGGTTTTAGATCTTGTCGACTCACTGCTAACCGTATTGCCACACACCCCCCAGGCCCTGTCCCTCAGCTTCGCGGCTTTGCTGCTACACGACTGCTCGGCTTCACCTGTTCAGCTGCGGGGCGATAGAAGTGCCGCAGGGGGGCGACGGGCAGCAGATGACGCTGCAGGGCGACGGGCTTCAGCCCGACATGAAGCTGCAGGGCGACGGGCGGCGGCCCGATGAGAAGCTGCAGGGCGACGGGCGACGGCCCAACGAGAAGCTGTAGGGCGACAGACGGCGGCCTGACGAGGAGGAGAAGTGGCGCGTACTCGTTTGAGAAACACATGATTAGTGAAATGCCGACGACAGGCTTACCAGAAAACTCACGGAATGTCGTCGTGATTGTAAGGAGAGTGGCGCGGGAAGAATTCCGTCTAGAGATGTCGCGAATCATTAGCGACGGGATTGAAGGCAGCTACGCCGAAGAACGCGGGACAAGAACCCGCAGAGATAAGAGGATCATGATCCGCGTGTGCGGTTGAAACTCTATGATACCATGTCAGATTTAGAGCTTAGAATGGATACATTAGTAATGAGCTCGAAGCTTGTTAAGTACATCTTCGAAGGGCAAGGAAGAGATGGGAAGGGAATCGGGGGCAATCTCTAGGGAATGGGGGTAATCCCAAGGCAATCTCCAAATGGTGGGTTGGAGATTGCTTGGAGATCACATTTGGGTTCGGTTGGGATGGAGGTGTACACCCAACCAGACACAAAGTGCAAAATACACTACGCTATGATATAGAAAGCACAAATACAAAGCGTGAGGTTGAGGGCTAACGCTAACATTAGGAACAACAATACAAAGGAGAGCAAACCTGAACCCGTGTTCGGTTCGACTCCAACATGGTCGCACACAGGGGCTTATAGGGGCGGGCGGTTGTGACCCGAGTGCGGGTCGGGTTGACCGAGCGTCAAGGCCATCCGAGCTTAAAGCGAGGGATCTGGTAATCGCGCTTATTTGCGGGGCTTATAGAGGGGTGGGCCAGCTGTGATCCGAGGCCTGGGCGGGTCAACCAAACTCAAACATGTTCGGCTCGAACAATCGAACACCACACTCATGAAAGCGAGGGACTTGGTAATCCTGCTCATCTGCAGTGACGGCTGATGATCAAGGCTTGTTCGGAATGAACCTGAACTTGTTTGACTCGAACAATCGAACACCACACTTCGAAAAGTGATTAACTTGAACATGTTCAGTTCGATTGTGTTAGGTGTTCGAACCAGATTGAATCAAGTGTTTTCGAGTTGAATTATGCTTATGCCTAGTCCTACCCTATCTAACCAGGTCAGACCACCCGAACCATCAGGCCGAACCTGGACCGAAGTGTTGTTTGGTACTTTGTACAGCCCTAGTGTCGTGTGCCTTCTGAGATGAAAAGGCATATTTCTGCCCCATTTTCTTGTGACACTTCGTTTTCCCAATTAATATTCCTACCCTAGCTCACTAGCTTATTTTTTTGTTCATACCGACAGGATGTGGGAAGCAGAGACGCCCTTAACAACAGTTTTTTTCAATGCACTTCGCCTCCTTTCGCGTGCGACTGATGGCTTTGGCATTCCTTTCTTTGCGTTTGCCTCTGTCTCACATCCTAGGACATCTTTATCACGTTTCACTTCAGATATCTTTATGACAATCAGCTCACTGGCTCTATCCCTACAGAGATTTGCTCAATGAGGAAGTTGGTTTTCATGTAAGCATTTTGTACATCAGACGCATGACTCACTTGTCTTGTCTTTTTCTCCTATGCAGCAACCATCTTACCCTCCAAGCGCCCCAGTTCAATTCACACCCCTCTTTGCCTTCCTCTCTTTCCTACTAGTAGTAGGCTGCTCTATTCTTGCTGGTTTATATTCAAGGAACACGGCCGTGTGCCTCTGCAATGCCTTCTTCAGCACCTCAGTCTGCCCCATTTCCTACCCTAGCCCACTATTACAGTCGTGTGACATTCCGTTTCCCCAATGGATAACCTATCCTAGCCCACTAACTCGTTCGTTCCTTTGACCATTAACTCTGCCTGGTTTTGGGGAAGAAGATACTCTTCTTGCAGCAGTTCTTTCAAAACATTTCGCCACCACGTTCGTGCCCCTGCGGACAGTCATTCGTGTGAAGCACCCATTTTTACCCCTTCTCTCATTCAGAGTTATGGATGGATGTACTGTGAGGTAAACGTGGTGCTACTTCTATCTTGCCTGCAGCAAGAATGCAATTCTCATTATGAAATCCTTGTGGTGTCACATGCAAAATTTAATGTAGTTCGATTTTTCCTAGGTGTTACAACTTTGCAACACTTGTTGGAAACATAACCACCCTACCCGAAAGCCATGGTGTCTTTCTTAACCATCCGACCAAAGATCTATGCATACTAGTGTCTTAATAATTGCTCAATTATATAAGACATGCATAATGATAGATGCTCATGCAAACAATGCAACCATGAATGGCATGAGCACTCGGCAGGACAGGACATTAGGATGACAAGCACTAAGAATGATGTGCATTCAACAATGGTTTGTGAAGGAACACTAGAAACTGGGCAATAGAAATCACCAATTCATAATGCAGGAAAGAAGGTATAGAAGGCAAGTAGCATCTACAACCAGTTTGGTTGGTTGGACTTCCCAATGCTGTTGGCCGCCAGCCCAACCTACACATAGTGGATTTACCCCCTCATTGCCACCAACAGCTCTCTCCCCCCCTTGCCACCATTATCTCTCCCTCCTCCATGCCACAAACAGCTCTCTCCACTCCAACATGCTGTCAGGATCCTTGCCGTCCTCAATCACAACGTTCACATCACTTTCGAATCTGTAAGAGGTCAATTGCTCCTCTAGAAATGTTGTTGCTCCCAACGATCTTGCTGAACCTGACTTCTATATTTACCTTAGCTCGAACCATAACTGCTACTCTATTCTCACCAGTTCGTCCATCTTCTTTGCCTGCCCCCCACGTGTCCCTCGTCTCCTTGCCTGAGACAGTTCTCTTGCTAGCAACCAGCTCTTTAGCTCAATCCCCTCTGACATTGGCTTGCTGACGAAGGTGATAACCATGTAAGAATGTAGTATATGTAATTCACCTACATTGGTTTCAATATAGTTATGCAATCACACTTCCTAATCCTCCCCGCTAACCCTCTATACACTTGTTAATATCTTATGCTCCCCTATTCGCCTTGTGCCACTACTTCCCTATTTTTTACTCTTCTTCACCCCTTCCTCGTTGCCCCCCTCTTGCATTTGATATTCTCATGCTACTTAGTGACATGCTTACATTGCTTGTGCGCTGATTTATAAATCAAACCGGGCATGAGCACGGGACCGATCCAAGTCGACTAAAGAAGGCACCACCAAAAGATGAACCTGGACATGTCCTCTTCAAACATATTCTAACATCCTCAAATCCCGGGTCGAACTTAAAAAAAAAATATAAAAAAAAAAATCAAAACATCTACAGTGTTAACATCAAACATCCAACGTTCGAGGCGAACATAAACATGTTCGACTTGAATATGTGGGTGTTTGGTTTAGGATCTGAACATATACTTATGACATTTTTTTTCCGCGCTCTGTTCCCAATAGTTTTCAAAGGCAGGTGTAGGGTCTCTTTTAAAAAACTGAGCTAAATAGACTGGTTGGATTATGGAACTCAAGGCTCATTACCTTTAGTACAAGAATGAGTGAGAAAGGAAGCAAAGACAATCCTTAATGACATCAACTGAAATGTCCAGCTGTGAGTTGGAGATTTCAGGTGATCACATTTCAATGAGGTAAGGATTTTATGAACACCCTACCCAAGAAATCTACAGATACAGTGAACTAGGATATATGACGAGTGCAAGTAAAAAAGTAAGATTGTTGTCCATCTCTAACAATGTACCTCAACAAAACATGCAGGTGCTGTGGGGATCTCTCCTCCAACACGCCCCCTCTCCAGATGGACCACTGTGGTCGTTCCCCATATCACCTCCACTGCCATGTATATTTTGCAACTGAGTAGGGATTACAAGGGACAAAGCACGAAGATTTAAAAACCTTCCAACCTGCCCTCATTGCGTGCACATAAAAGAGAGAACGCTTAAAAACATGTACTCTTCGGTTCGCTATCTACACATATTAGAAGAGGCCTCTCCCTATGACCCTAGAGAGGAATTTAAGTGTGTAAAAGACAACCCAAGGAGGAGGAAGAGGAGGAGGAGGAGGAGGAGGAGGAGGAGGAGGAGGAGGAGGAGGAGGAGGGGTGCGAGGGGGGCGAGGGGGGCGAGGGGGGCGAGGGAAGCGAGGGAGGCGAGGGGGGCGAGGGGGGCGAGGGGAGCAAGGGGGGCGAGGGGGGCGAGGGGGGGGAGGGGGGGGAGGGGGGGGAGGAGGATGGGGAGGGGAGGGGAGGGGAGGGGAGAGGGGGGAAGGGGGGAGAGGAGGGGGAGGAGGCGGGGGAGGAGGGGTAGGGGGGAAGGGGGGGAAAGGGGGATGAGGGGGGTGATGGGGGTGAAGGGGGGGAGAGTGGGGGGAGAGGGGTGAGTGGGGAGAGGGGGGGGGGAGTGGGAGGAGGGGGCGAGTGGGGGGAGGGGGATTGGAAATATGAGGAAAGTTGGAGATAAATCATGAATTCCAGCTTTCAATTGGCACCCTTGTAAAAATTGCCACTGCGAGGTTTGCATCGAACCGTGGCTCGAGGCTAACCAGCCCAGTTTGACTTTCGACAAGCCCGCGAAAGTTGAGCCTTGCCAGCTTGCCGGGCCGTGTGAAAATGAACGAGGATGAATGCACTATGAAAGAGTTGGGTACAAGTACTAACCCTAATTGGGTTGTACCCCATATAGGCTACCCCACTACAGCCTACAGAAAAGCATAAGCTATAATGTTCCGACACACCCCCATAGGCAAAATGGGGGAGTACAAGGGGTCACAAGACCAGTCAAGCAAAGTGAAGCAAAGCAAGCTCAGGGTGGATCACAAAGTCACCACACATTCCGAGCACAAGGTCAAGGCCACAAGGCCAGTTCACATGCAGGAGTACATATATATATAAAAGGCTAGACAAGCAAGAGCAGGTGTATATATATATGTAACAGTACAAGCAAGGTCAAGAGGTGAGCAAGTGAGGCAAGGCAGGCACAAGACCCAGCTGAGTACAGAAGCGCTGATGATCACAAGGCGCAAGCGCCTTGGTGAAGATATCAGCAGTGTTGGCCTCAGAGGCCACGTACGCAAGACGCAGCTGACCACGGTGCTGCAGCTCACGAGCAAGGAAGTAGCGGAGAGCAATGTGCTTCGTTCTGTGCTCCAGTCTGTGCTCTCGACACAAGGCCAGCATGGCCTTGTTGTCTACGTACAGGACTGGAGGAGAACGAGGCGGCTCTACTAGGTTGGCCTTACAAGCGCGCATCCAGTTCGGCAGCTTCGTGTCGACTCCATGGATGGCATACCATTCGTCGTCTTTCTTCTTGAAACACGTGACGAGAGGGTGGTTAGTGCCACCACACACTTGTCCCTTGCAGCTGCCATACTTGACGACGTAGGTGCATGGAGGGAAGCGGTTGCGCTGAAAGGGCGCCGAGGCGACACTTGCTTGAGGCACGGGAGCACGGAGGGCGTAGGCCTTGTCTTGAGCCGAGGAGTCTTTCTTGGCGGAGAGGAGGGCGGAGGAGACCTTAGCAAAGGTGATGTCTTCCGCCGAGGATGTGAGGAGCATTTTCCTTGTGACTTCGTATGCCGAGGTGAGGCCAACAAGAAGGGCTGCTGCAGGAGCTTGCTCGGGGAAGACAATACCCAGCTTGAGCTCGCCATGGATGGTTTGCACCTTGACGATGTAGTCGGCCTTTTCCGGGCAATCCTCAAGGCGGACTTGGAACATACTAGGAATGAGGATGGCCACCCCGACCGCCGTCTTGTTCATAAACCTGTCCTGGAGATGCTTTCAAATGACGTTGGAAGTGGGGTAGTTGTGGAACGTGTTGACAAGTTTGGGAGGGGTGGAGCCAATGAAGACGCTAATGATAGCCGCATCGACCTTCTCCCATTTGCAGTAATTGTCAACAGCTTCCTCATACTCCTTGGTTGCCATAGCATCGGAAGAATCGGACGGCTCCTCGGGGATGGGGGACTGCTTTCCCTTACCGTGGTTGAGAAGGACGTCATTGAGGTCCAATCCATGCACCTCACCGCTCAGGAGGTGCATGTCAACCCCGTAACTCCATGCCTTGAAGTTGGAGCTAGTGCCGTTGGCTTCAAGGCGGAGCGGGGTGATGGGGTTGGCGAGGGTGGCCGAGGCGAAGGCCATGATGAATGTATCTTCTTTTCTGTGCGGAGCGCAGCTCTTCAGTCACCGTAGGCAGAATTGTGGAGTAGGGTTTGTGAAGGAGAATTATGAGGTAGGGTTTAGGAAAGAGAATTGTGAGGTTTATGATTTCCGAAAAAGAATTTGAACGTGGGTTTTAGATCTTGTCGACTCACTGCTAACCGTATTGCCACACACCCCCCAGGCCCTGTCCCTCAGCTTCGCGGCTTTGCTGCTACACGACTGCTCGGCTTCACCTGTTCAGCTGCGGGGCGATAGAAGTGCCGCAGGGGGGCGACGGGCGGCAGATGACGCTGCAGGGCGACGGGCTTCAGCCCGACATGAAGCTGCAGGGCGACGGGCGGCGGCCCGATGAGAAGCTGCAGGGCGACGGGCGACGGCCCAACGAGAAGCTGTAGGGCGACGGACGGCGGCCTGACGAGGAGGAGAAGTGGCGCGTGTGAAATCAAAGAACGAGAATGGATGAACTACGAATGAAGTGAGTACAAATATGAAACCCTAATTGGGTTGTACCCCCTATGGGATACCCCACTATAGCCTACACAAATAAGTAAGCTATAATGTTCTGACACACCCCCATAGGCAAAGTGGGGGAGAACAAGGGGTCACAAGACCAGTCAAGCAAAGCAAAGCAAAGCTCAGGGTGGATCACAAAGTCACCACACATTCCGAGCGCAAGGTCAAGGGCCACAAGGCCAGTTCGCATGCAAGATCATATATAGAGATATACAAGAGTCAAGCAAGCAAGAGCAAGAGTATATATAGGTCAAGGTACAAGCAAGGTCAAGAAGTGAGCAAGTGAGGCAAGACAGGCACAAGACCCAGCTGCGTGCAACAACGCTGATGATCACAAGGCGCAAGTGCCTTGGTGAAGACATCAGCAGTGTTGGCCTCAGAGGCCACGTACGCAAGTCGCAACTGTCCACGCTGCTGTAACTCACGAGCAAGAAAGTAGCGGAGAGCAATGTGCTTCGTTCTGTGCTCAAGTCGCTGCTCTCGACACAAGGCCAGCATGGCCTTGTTGTCTACGTACAGCACTGGAGGAGAACGAGGCTGCTCTCCAAGGTCGGTCAGCAGGTAGGTGAGCCAGCGTAACTCCTGTGCAGCCATAGCCCCGGCGTAGATCTCAGCCTCACAACTGGAGCCGAGAACAGAAGACGAGCGGGTAGCCCGCCACGAGACAGAGCCGGAACCAAGGCTGAAGGTGTAACCCTGTGACGACCGCTGCGTAGCCTGGTCGTCAGCCCAAGAAGCGTCTGCGTGCCCAGTGAGGACCACTGGACTGCGCCCTCCAAGCACTAGCCCCATGCCCGACGTACTGCACAAGTAGCGCAACACCCTCTTCGCTGCAGCCATGTGCTCTGGTCGGTGTCTCCCAGGAGCAACAAAGCGTGCGAGAATGCTAAGAGGGTATGCGAGGTCAGGTCGTGTGCAGGTCATCAGGTACATGAGGCAGCCAACAAGCTCTGCAAACGGGCCACTCGACTCTACGGACTCATCCGAAGGCAGAGCTGAGAGCGAGTGGCGAGTAGGCAGAGGAGTGGCCTGAGGCGAGGAGTACGTGAAGCCGAAGCGCTGAAGGACCTGCTGCACCATGTGTGACTGAGTCAGGGTAATGGTGCGGCGTGCTCTGTCCCGGGTGATCTGCAAGCCAAGGTAGCTGCGCAGTTCACCCAGGTCAGTGCACGTGTGTCTCTTCTGCAGCTCGGACTTCACGTAGGCGAGTCCAGCAGTGTCAGCTGTGGCAAAGACCAAGTCGTCGACGTACACGAGGATGTAGAACGGCGGCAGAGAGGTGTCGGTGCGCAGAAACAGCGACGGGTCGGCAGTAGAAGGAGCAAACCCAAGTGCCGCGAGCGTAGTCCTCAGTGTGTCGTGCCACTCACGTGGCGCCTGGCGGAGACCGTAGACTGGACGCCGGAGACTCCACTGGGTACCAGGAGGGAAAGACCCAGTGAAGCCAGGTGGGCGACGCAGCCAGATCTCGTCGTGCAGGCTGCCCTGCAAGAAAGCTGTGCTGAAGTCGAGAGAGTGCAGCTCGTAGTCACGGTGAGCAGCAACGTGCAGCAGAACCCGAAGAGTGGTCATCTTCGGGGTGGGGGAGAAGGTCTGAAAGTAGTCAACCCCCTGCCGCTGACTGAAGCCACGAGCCACGTACCGCGCCTTGAAGACAGGCGGAGAACCCGGCGGCCGCTTCACCCTGAAGATCCACATGCCACTGACGATGTTCGCCCCAGGAGGGGGAACAGCGTCAACGTAGGTGCCTGTGGACTTCCAGGAAGCCATCTCTGCATCCATAGCTGCCTGCCACTGAGAAGAGTAGGGACCCTCTATCGCCTCCGCGTAAGAGCGCGGAGTCGGGATGTCTGGTGCATCCGGGTCTCCCTCAGGGGCTAGCAGTACAGACGCGAGACGAGGTGAAGCGGCGGCCAGACACTGGAACTCCTCCTGCCTGTCCTCAAGGACGTCCGTGCCAAGGGCACACTCACCCCCGACGGACGGAGGACAGGCGGACTCAGACTCAGTGACAAGACGAGCAGCGTAGTCTAGACGACAGCGCGCAGCAAAGTCGACAAGCTCAGTGACAAGGGCAGACGCAGCAGACGACTCGAAGGAAGGGTCAGTGACAGCAGTAGCAAGGAGACGCGTGACAGTAGGACTGGCAGCACGAAGAGAGTCCGACTCCGGGTCGGCAAGAGCAGGAAGAGAGGAAGCAGGAGGAGAAGGCAAAGGGGCACGCAGAGGAGCAGTGGACGGACGCAGTGACATCCGGTGCGTGCCAGGGACAGGAGGAGGACGCTGACGCGACCCGCGACCACTAGCGCGCTCAGTACGAACAGGCGACACAGGACGAGACGCAGGCTCACGACGCTCAGTAAGACCTCCAGTCGGACCAGCGTAGGGAGAAGGAGCAGGTAAAGGGGAGGCAGGCTGTAGCTGTGGCTGTGACCGGACAGGCTGCGGACCCTCTAAGGGAGGAGGAGGAGGAGGTGTAAGACCAAGAACCTGCTGCAGGAGCGGAACGAAGTACGGTCGGGGCCGCGCGGCGACACTCGAAACAGCAGGAACAGCACCAGCAGCCCCGGCAGGAGCACCCACTCCAGCAGCACCTCCAGCAGCACCACCAGAAGCTCCAGAACCTCCAGC